TTAAAAATAAATAAAATATAAACACCTTGCTATACCATGCAACTCCTTCATAACATGAACTCTCTACAACTCTTTGACCTCCTCTCCGGTCCTTTTCCCCTCTCAAGTCACCTAAAATTTTCAACCTACAGAATCCCAAAACAACTTAAGTTATGCCTTTTCATCTTACAGTCCATATATCATATATTTTTTCTCCTTTACCTGAATGCCTCTTACTCATTCTTTAAATTCAGTTTGTGCTAGAAGTTTCAGGAAAGTAAAAAATGAATAGATGAACCAAAAAGATTTTTAGGGCAGTCAAACTATTCTGTATAATACCACATGGGTAGATAAGTGTTTTATATATATATATATATACACACACACACACACACACACACACACATATATATATACATATATACGTGTGTGTGTGTGTGTGTACCTCAAAACCAAAGGATACATATCATCAAGAATCATTAACTACCAACTTTGGCTGAGATATCCTTTTCTAAAGGAAACTTTTTGTAATCATCCCAGTCTGGATTTTCTTCCTCTATAGTCCTTGACTAACTTTTCTCTTCATGTATCAATATATGGTGCTACCTATAGGTTCCTTCCTCTCTGGACTTGAGCTCCCCTAGATCAGAGAATTCCATCTCTATATTCTAAGTGCTACTACATTGCTTGGCATGAAGAAGAAACATCTAATAATATTTTATAATGAATAATTTTATTGTTTATAACTTATATTCTGATTTATCAAATTCACTTATCATGATAACAATGAAGCCTATGTGCATATGAGCAAACACTAGTGGCTCATTCTTGTGATCCTAGCTACTCAGGAGGCCTGAGTGGAAAAATCTATGAGACTCCCTTTCAAAAAAAAAAGAAAGGGCTGGGATGTAGCTCAGTGGCAAAGCGCTTGCCTAGCAAGTACAACGTCCTGGGTTCGATCCCCAGTACCAAAAAAGACAAAAAAAAAAAAATTTGTCAAAAAGAAAAAGAAAAAAGCAAGGCTTGAAGGTATGGCTCAAGAGATAGAGGTAATGCTAGCCAAAAAAGGGCCAGCTTAGCAAGTGAGCAAGCCAACTAAACATGAAAACTGAGTTCAAACTCAGTATCACAAAAAAACACCACCAAATGACCACGCTTTCATGAAATAATCTTTATGCATATATTGTGTATAGGAATAGACATTTAAGTATTGTTATCAAATAAAATTCATATGTTAATCTTTTTTGTTTTTTTTTTTTGTTTGTTTTTGCAGTTGTAGGCCTAAACTCTGGACCTGGGCGCTGTCCCTCAGCTCTTCAGCTCAAGGCAAGTGCTCTACCACTTGAGCCACAGCACCACTTGCGGTTTTTTTTTTCTGCTTATGTGGTGCTGAGGAATTGAACTCAGGGCCTCATGCATGCAAGGCAAGCTGAGCCACCTTCCCAGCCCCTATTCTTATCTTTTAACATGCACAATAATTTGTGACATTGTAATTGAATATAAATGACAAACTGATATAATGACTGTAATTAGCCACCTCAAATTTGTGGAAGAAGGCAGGATGGGAATAAATAAATGAGTCAGAAGACTACAATTAACATTATTTTTATCAGCCAAATCTCACATTGCTATATTTTCTCCCTTTTCTTTGTTAGTTTGCCAGCACCTGTAATCAGCTTTAATATCAACTACTTCCACTGATAACATATATACAGTGTAAAGCTCATCACATATTCTTACTGACAGAAATCCTGGACCCACTGCATTGCCCTACCACTAATACTATCTATGTACTGTAAGGAGGCTATAACTTGTATATCTATCTGCTTCTAAGAGATCTAGTCCTAGACTATGAGTGGCTGATCCTTTACTTTGTAATGAGAT